TCCAAAAATCATTGTAAATACATTTAGTGTTAGCAAGTGTTGGTAATAGCATTAAAAATGATTAAGGTTTTAAAGTTCATATGATACAATATTGTGTTTACTTTAAAATAACATGGATTCTGAATGATTTGAATAAAATAATGGATTTACTCATGAGTTCAGCACAGATGAGTAGATTTTTTCCATATCAAAAAGCCTAGGGGGGCCTTTATTAGGGTAGGGGCATTTATTAGGAATTTTACGGGTATGTTTGTGAGTAACACTCAGGTTTTATCCTGATGGGGCACTGTCTCTATATGTTTTTATTTTGTGAAAAAGTATTTTTACCTATGTAACAGTACTAGTATAATTAACCACTCACAATTTTTGTAATGTTAATTTCCCAAAGACCAATGTGAGTTATTCTAACTGTTAAGTCACCAGTGTTCCATGTTACTAAAAATTTTGTGCTGATACACAGGTAATAGTATATTTTCACAGTAAAAAACTGAAATATTATACCTATAGAAACAGTGTTCCAATGAAGTATTTTCTCTTGATAATAAAATTAATAACACATAGGTAATACATAGGTAACACATAGGTAACAGTATTTTACTTGGGATGATAGTTTTACTGTTACTCACAAACCTATGTGTTATTTATATTTATTGATTAAATATTAGCCTGTAAAACACCTGTCACCAAACAAGGATTATTCAACATAAAAATGTTGTATGATAATTAATCAAGCAATAAATAATGATATACTGATCCATGTTAAGGGGATTTACTATTTCAGCTAACTTATAAGCCTCTTATACCAAGCTTTATTTGTAGTACTTTATATTCATGTCCATTATCAAAGTAGACCTGCCATAGTGCTTTATAAATAATTATGGTAGTATAGGTCTTTCTATTGGTTTTTCAAATAAAATAATTACATTTTTAAATTAAAACTGGAGTTGATTTCTACATTCAAACTTACATTTGTATTGGTTTGACAAACTAGAGTATTAAAGAGGTCCTAAAGATTAATCAGTATACTTATGGAAGACGGCCGTTTCAAATTATGAAAGTGAGCTGTGTCCCTGATTTCTTCTTATGCTGGTAGGATTGTTAATTGTTGTTGTTGTTCTTTTTTTAAAATAATAAAGATTACCTGTTATCAACATTTTATGGTTTAAAGAAATTACTGATGTTCATAGCAGAAGATGATATATAACTTTAACCTTTAACCTTCTCAATTTGTGACATGGACCTGCAATGCTTTGACTTTGAAACTGCTTTTAATTTAAGGAATTTCAGTGTCAAATAAATACTAAAACAAGCCGGTTATCTGGCTACAGGTGTATAATGAACTTTCCATACTTTAAAGTTATATTTAACCTTAGAAATGCTATTTTTCTATTTTCATAAATGCTTTTTGTTCTGTTAATGATTCCAAAATGATACTCATTGGCCATTAAATGCTGAACCATCTTTTTAACAGGGTTTTTTTTCAGAGGGGTTGGGGGGGGGGGGGGGCATGGTATAAAAAGCTTTAGAAAAACCCACATTTGCTAAGTTCCAAATAACAACTATTGTAACCACTTGCCCCTCACCGCTCTGGGTTCGAATCCCGACAAGGACTTAGGATTCTTTCATGTGAGGAAGCTATTCAGCTAGCTTACAGAACATCAGCGGCCCTACTCAGGTGCCAGTTTGTGCCTGAAATAAAGCACGGAAGGGCACCTGAGGTCTTCCTCCACCAGTAAAGCTGGAACATTGCCATATAACCTATACTGTGTTGGTGTGACATAAAACCCAATCAAACAAACAAACAACTATTGTATGAATTTTGTTATCAAATAATAATCCTGAGCAGTCATTTTTTTAAGAAATATGTGGCCAGTCTATAGAAGATCCAAAAATAGGATCAATATTGTAGTTATTAATGTATTTTCTATAAAGCAAATTTAGCTTATCAATACAGGTAGAGTTAGAAAATTTAGGGATTTATATTCATTTAAGGTAGGGTAAGAAACTTTCATAATAGATGATACTGAACTGTTCAACAAGTGTTTAAGTGGTGTTTGGCATCAATAAAAATAATGTCTTGTTGATACTGTTATATTAACTTGTACTTTGGGATGATTTAATATACTTAGTGTTGAAGAAGTCACTTTTGGATCATTGATTTCTATATGCATGATGTTAGTTGGTCTCTACAAAAGTTATATAATTATGCTCCTGGGGTCAAAAACGGCCACACCCAGTGAGTCACTTAATTTACATGAATTTGTAAAAATGTGAGAAAAATCTTTTTCTCTGAAAGTAAAATGCCCAGAGCTTAGATAATTTCCTATACAATCATGTGATGCTTTTCAAAAGATATATAAATCATGCCCCTGAGGTCAAAATGTGCCCTGCCCTTTGGGTCACTTCTAGTTTATGTAGAATCAAATTGGAAATACATTTAGTCTTCTTTTCTGAAAATTTTACAATGTCTAGAGCTTAGATATTTGGCTTGTAGCATTGCCTAATGGACCTCAACAAGAGTTATATAAGTCATGCCCCTATGGTCAAAGAGGGCAATGGGAGTCACTTAGTATACATAGACTCATGTTATAAGTATTCAATGTGCAGAGTACAGATGAGCATGGATGTTTGGGCTGATCTCAAAGTCTGCACTGATTGCACGATTAGATTCATTTGCCAATATCAGGTTTGATAGGTGAACTTAAAGAATTCCATACTCAAAGTAGATAAGTTCATTACATATGCTTAAGGTCAGATAAAGGTTATGTAACTCAGACCTTTATATAGGAACATTTGTATATGTATTATCTGAGGAAGTGATAGAAGTAAGGTCATCATAGAAGCTTAAAATTGTAAAGAGAGGTGTGCTGCTAGTTATATTAGTGAATAAATTATTATTCTCAACTGACTTGTAAAAACATTGTTGCTCAGTGAGTTGAAGCTTATATAAGTCTTTGTGAAGTGTTTCTTGCATATCGGAGTACATTAAATGTATTATGAAGGAATATGATAAGTAAAATGCAACTGATTGTGTGTATTTTTATGCCCCTGTATTTCGCATTCAAAAGGCACTTACCTTGGATGGTGTAGAATTTAGAATCACAAGGTCAAGGTCAACTATGCTAACAATATATTTTTTAAACCTTGGCTTATACAGCCTTTACAAGATAAGAGTTCAGTTTTTAAAACGAATATGTGAACTAATGCATTATAAGATAAAAATTGAGTTGTTCAATATATAGGGTCTTCGTGATGATATTGTTGATTACTTTAAATTAAGGCTACGGGACATCTATGACCAAATGGCTAAAAAGGTCTTTGACTTTAAATTGCTTTTGGTTATTTTAACTCTTATCCAGCTGGCAGCAACTGATTATAAACAGATGACTTTTACAGACAAAGATCAGCCAGCACATCATTGCCTTCGGATCAAAGTCTGTTTGCTATTTAGCACTGTTTGCTATTCAGTCAATGTTTTGAAAATTTCCCTGAAAATTTGAGAAACATTTTTGTCCAGATTGAAAGATCTGTACATGTCCATTTAAGATAATATTTATTTAGCAAGCAAGTTGGGCTAGATACTAAAACAATTTTCACCACAGTAAATTGGGAGTTTTTGCTAGCAGAATGGAAAATCAACAAGATTTTTTTTTTAGTTGGACTGTTGCTTATTTCAACCATGATGCTTCAGAGCTTTTGTGGGACTTTATAGATTTTTTCTTGTCAACAACCGGGTTATAACTGAAAGGTGGTAAAAAAGCTCGGATAAAATAATACGCAGCAGGAGTCTCAAAGTTCATAACCTCCACTGAAACAAAGGAAAGGTCATCCTGTTTACAATTTTGATCTTCCAGGAAAGGTAAAGAAGTACTGGTTTATAAGATAAACAAGGTTCAGGATGGTCTTTTATAAAATTGATAATTAATTCATATTATCTACATGTAGGATTGTAACATGTAGGTGGTAAGAAAAGCTTCTTGGGTACCTCACAGTTTATGCCAGAAATAGTATGCAACAGGTACAGAGTCCTGCAGTTCATTATCGCCACTGAAACAAAGGAAAAGTCTTCCTGTTTACAATTTTGATCTTCCCAGAAAAGGTAAAGAAGTACATAGTGTTGAAAATATAAACAATGTTCAGGGTGGTCTTTTTATAAAAAAAAGTTGATAATCTCTTAGTTAATACATATTATCGCAGCTTTCTTGTCAATAAAGTATTTTCGCGATCAAACGCTTGACATTAGTTTTCTATTGATGTTTGTTGTTTTGTTTGTATAGTTATAAGACCTTCTGATAGGAAAGGGAAGGTTCAGATGTTGTTATCTGTCGTTTTAGCAAGTTTGTTTTAAATTTTGAATGCATTATTGTATAAAATTATATTGCATGCATCAGGTTCAGAATGATGTGCTGTGGTATAATCTGGGAGGTCAATTATTCATTTGCAGAGACATGGCTTCCTATAGGCCTTGTAGTCCATGCCTACATTCTTTTTCCCAAGAAAGTGGAAAAATAAAAATTATTTGTCACCTGCAATATAAACGTATTTATTGTACTAATGATATAGGCCAAATTGCAACAGACAATCCAGAGCAAAAAAAGTGTTCTTCTTGGTGCACATACACCTCTAAAAGCCAATCTATACTTAAGTTAGGACAAAGATACACCCCTGACCTGTTTGATTACAAAGCATAGCAGAAATAAACTGTGGAATATTAACCTTTTAGGCACTGAATTTGTGTAAAACGGACTTACCCTGCTTTGAATTTCGAACATTTATTGAAAGTTAAAAATCCGAGATTTCAATATCAGAATACAAAAATTGAGCTAAGCTGTCAACAGTAGCTTATATTGGCTCTGTGCATGTGGAATTACCATTAATAAAAACTTAATGTAATTCCTTTCTAAGAAGTAATATGTACATATATAGCAAAACCATCTAAAATCATTTGGCTTTTATTGATCAAAATTATATGTTTGTTTTAGTTCTTGTCTTTTTTTCAGAGTGGGTAACATGTCAAGGAGACGAGCCTCGGAGGGTTCTGCTATGGCTTCGTCGATAAAATCAACAAAAAAGAAGTCGAAGAAGCAAACTTCTAGTCAAGGTCCGTTTTCTGTCAGAGTTATAGTTATAAGCAGCTGTGTTTTAACAATAGCATTAGTAATCTATGAAATTAGACTTGAGCTGTTAAGTTTGATTGGATTAGATTTAGCCGTCAATAAAAATTTGACGTATGACTCATCAGGTGATGTACTGTCGAACAATGGCGGTTGGAGATTAGCAGACGACCAAACAGTAATTAGTTTTAGCAGTGATATTTGTAATATTGAAAGAAAATCAGCTGATGAACTTACTGAAAGTGATTTTGAAACAAATTATCGATATAAAAAACCGTTATTGGTTACTTTTAAAAATGGAGCAAAAGATTGGACTAACCCAGAAAAATGGACAGTAGAAAGTTTAAAACAGGAGTATGGAAAATGGACAGTATTATCAGGGAATGCACGAGATATTGTGCGGAGGGGCGGCTCGGGATACATAGACACTTCGTTTTCAGAATACGTTGACAGGATAATGACCGCCAATGATAACACAAAAGAACCATCGTAAGTATGAACATATTTGATTTTCTTGAGCAATTAAAGGCACATTATGCCTCAGAAAGTATAAAAAATTTCACTTCTAGAAAGGGCAAATATTAGTTTTAGATTTTATAGAGAGTTTAAGATGATCTAACTACCTGAAGAGAATAGTGCTGAATGTGAAAATATTTGTCATGAAATTAACAAAATGTTAACAAAGTAGTATTTTGACTTTCATATAAAAAATACTAAATCACTTTAGCTTAATTATTCCAAGAAAGCAAAAAAAAACCACAAAAATTTTGTTCAGATTATAAGTAACATTTCGGAAAAAATAACAGGGCACCAGGCACAAAAAGCTTTTGAGAAATAAAAATAAAAGCTTTTCTGGGGCATAATGGGCCTTAAATGTAATAGATTTTAATTACTTTACAGTTCTAAATTTGGTAAAGGAGCTCCACTAAAGTTGAAAAGCCTAAAAACATAAAATTTGAAATTCTAATATAACCTTACTAGGAGAAATGTATTGTGATCTTTTACCTGATTAGAGTTAAAAGCTTTTTAAGGTTGTATTGCACAATGAGAACTATTATACTTTAAAACCAGAGAGGGAGAATGATTTGAAATTTTGCATGCAAGTTACTGGTATAAATTTCCATCAAATTGCATAAAATTTCCATCATGTCAAAAAAGCCTTAGTTGAGTCACTTTAAACAGACTTGTTAAGGAAAGTTATGGCTTTTGTTCTAGCAAATTTACTTTATCCTAGTGCAAAGAGATATAGGAGATAAAGAGATTGGTTCTACGCTCAAAATTGCTTTGTCACTAATATTTCATGCCAGTCTGTGACACAAATTTCTTACCCAGACTGGTTTTAACTGGTCGCCTCTTACGATCTCACAGGGATGAATGGTGGCTGCTTTCTTATGCCTCAACCATTTTAGGCAACCTCTCAACCACAAGGGGCTAGAAAAATTATTTCAGGTGCTGGCCAAATGACATAGCAAAATCATTACATATATCAGGTACATGAGAAACTTTGTAGCTCTGGCAACTTGGTTTTAAAAATATATCATTAGTAACTTCATATTCACTGTTAAGTTTTCTAATGATTTCATAGATAATTGAATGTATACAATTTTGCAAATCCTATAAATGAAAAATAGAAATAAAATATTGTTTAAACTAAAACGTTTCACCTCATGAACATTTTATATAATTTCAGTTATGTTTTTGATAGAGAATTTTACAATGATTCCAGCCTTCCGTCCACCATAAAACCACCAAGTTACTTCAAGATAAAGGTATAAGCTTACCTTTCTTTTATCATATGCTGAGACACAGAGTTTTTATCTTTTGTTTGCTATTATTGGTTTCTGACATTTGAGTTTTTTTATTCAGAAACTGTAGGGGATATTTACAAAATAGCATACATATGTACATGTACCTAAGAAAGTAAATGAATCAAAGCATGTGGTTCTTAAGGAACAAAAAAATTTAGCGAACAAAAAAAAGTTATGTGCTATTCAATGTATTAGATTGACTATTGGAAGAATAGGGAGAGTTGTTTTACTCACCCAGGCATCATTTTCCAGCATCACAGTAAATTTGGTTAAGTTTTTGTCTGTAAGTTGGTTCCATATCTCTAAAACTACTGAAGGGAATGGGTTGAAACTTATTTATTAGAGAGCTTAACAGGAGGTCTTAACTAACCACCAAAATATTAATTTTATTGAATTAATTGGCTGCACAAAAATACATCAGATTGTTTCAGATTTTTCAGTAATTAATGAAATTGTAAGGAAGTAATGGTAAGCTAGTTATAAGTCTCTTTTCCCCAAATGAATCCTTTACTTATTACCTCGTGAGACCTATGTTTCAGCTTGTCCTCAGGCCAGACTTAGGATTTCCTTTCTCCTTTCCTTCCTTACATGTGTGTGTATTCTAGGGCTTATGAGGGTCCATCCGCCTTTTTAGGCACATAGAGTAGGGCCCCTGGCCTATGTCCTTATATGTTATTATCTGCCAGAAGGTGACCGTTTTAAATGAAATTAAAAAAATTTGAATTCAGTAATTCACTGAATGATACTAAATATATATGCAAGTCAATTTTTTGTGATATTTACTATTTTGATGCACTCAAGGCCAATAAAACCATTATATGCATCATGGAGAAAAAATAAGGTGTTGCTGCCCAAATAAATGATAAATCTTTCGTGTCCATCTTTAACTTTTACAATGTGTATTTATATGGTTTCCCTTTAAAATTTCCTGATGATAGCTTTATTTGGAGACAGTCAGAATTTCTATACTCTACAATGGCAGCATGGCCGAGTGGTTAATGCAGCTGACTAGTAATCTGAGGACTGCTGGCCGCATGGGTTCAAACCACGTCTGAGGTTGGATAGGCCATTGTTTCCTTGAGCAAGAAAATACATGCATTGCTTAGTACTGGTTGGTTCAAGGTACGTATTCAAGAGTGTTTCAATAAGCTTATAGCTTCCTACACAATCAAACTAAAATAAATTTGTTTAAACTAACTAAATTTTTTGTTTCCTTATTTTAGGATGGGATAGATGACAGTATATTTTTCCTTGGTAGCTCAGGTTCAGGGGTCAGTTTCCACAAACATGCAGATACCTGGAATGGTGTGGTATTCGGCCAGAAGAGATGGTTTTTATACATGATTGATAAAACACCGCCTGGAGGTATTCAATTTAGAAAACAAATATTTTCAGTGCTTTGTTTAGGAAATAGATATCAATTCGGAGTGCATTGTTGTAAAACAATGCATGGTACGGTTCAAGTGCAAATAAGGAGGAATATCATCACAAAGGCAATTAGGCCTGAGTGATTAATTACAAAGCATTTGAACAATAAACCGTGCATTATTATACGATAAGGGTTTAATAATCATTGCAAACAACTTTTGTTATAACATTTAAATTTCAAGGCATTAAGCAGACATTAGGAAATTTGATTTTTTGTCACACACAAATGAAACAAAAACACAAAATACCAAATTTTCATATAGTAAATGTTTACTTATTAGAATGTCTGTTGAATAGGACAGAAATAGCATTTGGAAACATTGTGGAAAATATTTAATAACTCTTACATAAGTTTTTGTACAAGTACATCTGACATTTTTTCATATAAGCCATCAACAAATATAGCTACTCAGTTATGTGATTGGTAGCCAGATTTTGACAGCATTTGTTGTCAAAAGTATGAATTTATTATCATTGAAAATTGTTAAATTGTAAAAGTCTATGTACTTTTTGATGGAATGAAATAAACAGGCAATTTCACTGGACTGTTTTGGATGTTTATGTAATTCTGCCTGTTAACACAAGTGAAACACACTCCAAACTACTTAAATTCTACACAAATCCCAAACTTTATTTTATGAAATAAAACTATAACCACAGATTTATAGTATATCTACAGATTTGTACAGTGTTTATCCACTGTTTTGAAGAGACTGTATCCATATATTTGTAGAGAATATATCCACAGATTTGTAAAGAATGTATCCATATAGTTGTAGAGAATACATTTGTATATCCACAGATTTGTAGAGAATGTATCCATATAGTTATAAAGAGTATATCCACAAATTTGTAGAGACTGTATCCATAGATTTGTAGGGAGTATAACCATAGATTTTTAGAGATTATATTCACAGATTTTTAGAGAATATACCCATAGAGTTCAATCTGGTAAAAACATTCCTCATTTAGATTTTTAAAAAAATCAAGATAGGGAATATCCTGCACAGATGTGCTAGCTGGTGGCATTGGTAGATTCTGCTGGGACTAAAAATTGTAATCATAAGTCCCTGGCCCAGTGTTCACAAAGAAAAGTCTTCAGGATCAGATTATCCTGATTTTATTTTCATTGTTTTATAAAACTTAAACTAATCTTATTATGCTAGAATTAAATGGTACATATTTGAAATATGAATAATTGCTAATTTGCAAAGAAACCAACCTATTTTGGGATAAAATCAACAAATAACAAAACAAATACAAAAATAATCCGATCAAAATGAGGATCAATTTTAGGATCAAGATCAAAATTTTGGATCAATTGTAAAATGCTCATAAATAACAATAAATTTATTCTAAAATTTCTTAAACATGCTTTTTCAAGTCCAGTTTTATCAAGTAAATACTAAATATTCAATCTATGAGGATAAATTATGGAGAATTTTTGAGTTTTAAATTTGATCCTGATCTTGATCCTGATCCTTAAATCTTTGTGAACACAGGGCCAGATGCCACCAGGCTTTGGATTAAACATTATATAGGACCTTGCCAAAACGGTACATCTTTACTAATTGTTGCATCTTGGCAGTCTTACCTTTTTCCAATCTTGTCGTCTGCTCAATATTTGTTTAAATTTTTAATCTTGAAATCCCTGAAATAAACAATGCACTGTTCCTTATTTAAAGCTGGACAAGTTCATTACAGAATTACAGGTTGGGTTATTCGTATTAAACATTATGATTTATTAAACAAATTTTCAATGTTAATATTTCTCTTTTAAGGTGTGTACCCTGGCTATACACAGATAGAATGGTATAAGGAAATTTATCCACAATTGTCACCAGAAGAAAAGCCTCTGGAATGTATTCAAAAAGCAGGAGAAATATTGTACCTGGTAAGTCATTTTTATCTTGTCTGCTTTAAAAAAGATGGGGCGTCCGTGGCCAAGTGGTGAGGGTTGTTGACTTCAAACCACTTGCCCCTCACCGCTGTGGGTTCGAATCCCGACAGGGACTTTGGATTCTTTCATGTGAGGAAGCTATCCAGCATAATTCTGACAGTTATATTTATAAAGTTACATCAAAAGGCTTTATATGTGAATAATCTCTTTTTTTTGTACAAACATTATTGTTATCAAACATATTTCGATCTAACATTAAACTAAACAAATTTTGTTTTTATTATATGCAAAGAAATGTTAAAAAAGACATTTTAACCAAATACTAAATGAAAATCGCGCCAAATACTAATACAACATGACATCATTTATGTTGTCATGTCATTAAGTTGGTTTCCAGTACTATGCACACTGAAACAACGTAACGGGCTTAAATTCAAAACAGTGAAAAATATTAAATTGATAATTGCACTGTTTGAAACAGTGAAATATCAGTTTCATATTTTACTGATATATTTCTATAAACCTATGAATAGCATGTAATAAATAAGGGTTCTTTACAAAATATGCCAAAAAAAAGTTGATGTCAATAAAACAATCCAGTTTTGACCTGAAGGCCAATTTCATGTATCACATGTATAAATATCACAACATTCATCACAAGTGCAACTCTTTGGCTCTTTATGTAGGACTTCAAACACAATAGTATAAATACACAGAACAGATGACGTATTTTGGTCTAAACTACACTAATAAACTTAACATGTAAACAAATAGTATTATAAAATGCCAGGACATGTTGACTTAGTATATTGTATTATGTCTTGGTAAAGTTTAACTAAATTAAATAAATTTATAGATAAAAAAAAGAAAACAATACATTATTCATAAAATTATTATTATGTTTGTAGAAACTGAACGTTACAAGTTTGTTGTGTGTTTTTCAGCCTGAGAGTACGTACCACGGCACTATTAACCTAGGAGATACAATAGCTATAGGTATACAGAAGAAAGAGGCGGTCACAACAGTCGAGAAACTTTTCTACGATGGTTAGTAACTGTTTGAAATATCCTGCAGAACCCAAGATTATAGTGATTAGGGCCAGTATGGACCCATTCATGTACATGTAAATCTTATATACAAGAATTTAAAATTAATAAGTATAAACATTGCCAACCGGTCATACCGAGCCTCATTCATTATCTCATTTTTATGCTCAAGGGTCTTGACTCCCAAACACCCGTCATAAAAAAATCATTACTTGATGTAAATGGCTCATATTCAGTGAAAATGCTTGGTTTCTGTGTACAATAAAGAAAGTATATACATAATTATGCCCCCCCCCGCCACCCCTTGAAAAAGAGGGGATATATTGCTTTGCAAAGGCCAATCAGTCGGTAGACCAAATTTATTTCTATCAATAACTTGAGAACTCCAAGGCCTAGGAGCTATAAACTTAAAGTATAGAGACTGGTCATGACTATTTGATGACCCCTATTGATTTTGGGTCAAAGGTCAAGATCAGATTGACCTTGTATATCAGAATGGTTTCCGACCAATAACTCAACAACCCATTGGTCCTCAGTCCTTAAAAGTCATAGAGGTAAATTGGTCTTGGCCAGTAGATGACCCCTATTTATTTTGGGGTCAAAGGTCATAGACTCTGACGTTGTATGTCAAAACAGGTAACAATGACATCCAAATAATGATGTCTTGATAACAGTTCTTGTTCATGTTTATCGTTTCAGAAAGGAAAATAGAAGAATCTATGAGGGGTAAAGACGAAACTGAGAAACAGAAATTAAAACTGCAACAGGTGAAGATCGTTGAAAAACTAGTGCAATTATTGCCAGGTAAGATATAATATTTACCTGAACTTTCATTTTTATGTCTCTGTCATAGTTTTGTTTACAAATCTCAGGCAAGAGTTTTGAGAATGTAACAGTACACTGAATTTTACAGGAATAATGTTTTTGTTCCGATGAGGAAACAGAAAAAAGGAAATGGAAGGAGGAAAAAAAAGAAATAATAGCCATTGCCGAGCGGGGACTTTGACAGTCAAGGTTATTTACAGATCAAGGTCGTACTTGAATCATTCAACATGTCAGTGTTTTCAGAAGTGTTCCCAATATTGATTCAATCTATAATAAATAATAATAACTAAGTTATGACAGTGTAAGCTAGATTCAATAATTTGGCCTTAATGGTCAAGGCCATTCAAAGGTCAAGGTCATTATTATACAGTCATAATTTCCGATTTCTCATGAGAGTTCTTTTGTTACAGAATGAATCAAGTACATAATTATATAAAGTTATGGCCAATTGTAGCAAAATTCTATAATTTCACCTTTAGAGTCAAGGTCGAATAAAGGTCAATTTCAATGAAATCTTTGATGTTTTGCCCCAAGTATTTTATTAGACAATCCATTTATTACTTATATAGTTAAAGCCAATTATAGCAAAACAAACTGTGAATTACAATAATTTGACCTTTAAGTTCATGGTCATTCATGAGTTAAGGTCATATTTAGTTTGATCTTCTTTAAGACAATGTACTAAAAAAAGTTGTGTTTAAGTATGAAGACAGTTCAGAAATCACTTCCCTTTTTAGCTCACCTGTCACAAAGTGACAGGGTGAGCTTTTGTGATCGCTTTTCTTCCGGCGTCCATCCGTCCCTCCGTAAACTTTTACTTTAAATGACATCTCCTCATAAACCACTAAGCCAATTTCATCCAAACTTCACAGGAATGTTCCTTTGGTGGTCACCTTTAAAATTTGTTCAAAGAATTTAATTCCATGCAGAACTCTGGTTGCCATGGCAACCGAAAGAAAAAACTTGAACTATCTTCTTTAAAAAAAAACGAAAGAGCTAGAGCTTAGATATTTGACATGAAACATCTTCTAGTGAGTGTCTACCAAGTTTGTTCAAATAAAAGCTCTGGGGTCAAAATTGGCCCCGCCCCAGGGGGTCATTGATTTTCCCTATATGCATATAGTAAAAACTTAAAAAATCTTCATTTAAAGAACCCAAAGAGCTAGAGCTAAGATATTTAGCATGAAACATCTTCTAATGAGTGTCTACCAAGTTTGTTCAAATAAAAGCCCTGGGGTCAAAATTGGCCCCGCCCCAGGGGGTCATTGAATTTCCCTTTATGCATATAGTAAAAACTTAAAAAATCTTCTTTTAAAGAACTCAAAGAGCTAGAGCTAAGATATTTAGCATGAAACATGTTCTAATGGGTGTCTACCAAGTTTGTTCAAATAAAAGCCCTGGGGTCAAAATTGGCCCCGCCCCGGGGGTCATTGATTTTCCTTATATGTGTATAGCAAAAACTTAAAAATCTTCTCTGAAAAAAACCAATTAGCTAGAGATTAGATATTAAGCATGAAACATCTTCTGGTAAGTGTCTACAAAGTTTGTTCAAATAAAATCCCTGGGGTCAAAGCTGGCCATGCCCCAGGGGTGTCATTGTTTTTAACTATACATGTATCTGTATAGTAAAAACTTAAAAAATCTTCTTTTAAAAAACCCAAAGAGCTAGAGCTTAGATGTTTAGCATGAAACATCTTCTTATGGGTGTCTACCAAGTTTGTTCAAATAAAAGCCCTTGGGTAAAAAAATTGGCCCTGCCGGGGGGGGGGGTTGGTGGGGTAGGGCAGAGGTCATTGTTTTTCATTATATGTGTGTAGTAAAAACTTAACATCAAGAAACATCTTCTAATGGGTGTCTTCCAAGTTTGTTCAAATAAAAGCCCTGGGGTTTAAACTGGCCCTGCTCCAGGGGCCTATATACAGGTGAGTGACCTCAGGGCCATCATGGCCCTCTTGTATTATGTTCTTGCTAGAAAACTGATTTTATAACCAACAATTCAATCTTTGCTTGTAATACAAGTTGAAAATAAGACATTTGGGTTGACCCATAACCTTCTGTATAAATGGTACTTTGTGACCTATTTTCAGGTTGAAAATATTGCCCGAATCAGATTAAAATCAAATGTACGCATTCATTTTATTATTGGACTTCATCAGCGGAGTCTGGGAATGATATTATAAGGAAATTCTGTAAAGCTCGAACTCAGATCTCAGGTATTTGATTGGTCAGAAACTTGTATATAGAATGTACACTGACCAATGAAAATCGTGAGATTTTAGTAAAATCTCAGAAAAAAATGTTTTAAAATTTCCAGGCCTGATGGTAAAAGTAAGGGGAAATTATATGCAAAGGACCTGATTTACAATAATCAATACCAAAGAGGTACTGTGGTGCTTTTATGGTGCATTTGGGTCAATTTGGATTCAGTTGAGGTGAAAGTCGGACGGAATGTTTAAACAAGGCTTCTAGTGGTGGGAGACAGTGGGGAATTGTCCTTATTTTTCCTCTAAATTATCTTAATATTTTGTAATTACATTGCTGGTTTTTTGTTGCTTTTTTGTCTACAGATAATGCGGAGGTACAGATGAAGCTAGGTAGTCAATATGCTGACATTCGGGAGTATGAGAAGGCCAGACATCACACCAGACAAGCTATCAAACTAGACAAACATTTTGTTATTGCAGTTTTAAACCTAGCAGGCATGGAATTTAAGGTATAAACTAAGAACAAATTAACAAGTTTGCATGGCATTTATTGCATAATTCTTGCATATAGATAATACATGCTTTAACAGAACTATTAATAAAGAAGAAACCATTTATTTACTGACAACTAAACTAAAAAAAGGTGCATTTATGCTACATTGTAAATTAGAACTAATATTTTTAAGTTCTGTATAATGAATGCTTGCTAAACGATTTTGATTCAAAAATTTTTTAATTTAAATTTAAAAAATGTATTAGAATTTTGTAATAGAAATAAATAATATTGAACTGTGCTCAGAATTGAAGGAACTCCACTTAGGTTATAAAAGCTTGTAACAAATTTGAATATCATTTAAAGAGCAACTTGGACATTCAAATCTAGACGGATAACTACCAGTAATTACCAATTGCTCTGAAAGTGATCAGCTACTATTTCCAAATGATTTCTGAATCAGTGATTATAGACAAATGACCATTAGACTCAATGTTGAAAATTAATTGTCACGGAGAAACTTTCGCCCTAGCCCGAGGATCAAACCATTTACGAATGCTTTTCCTAATTGGCTAAGTGGACTGACTCAACCAACACCAAATTATATGTAAAAATAAAATAATGTAAAGAACAAAAGCAAGTTTATTCTTGTACTTCTGTCCATTTAAGAAATTTTATTTTTCTTCAAAAATAAAAGAGTTAAAAAATCTATGTTTTAAGAAAAATCTTCTGTTATTAATCATAATTAGATGCTGATGTAATTCTAAGTAATAAAGATTTTTTTTACATAACTGCACACAAAGGAAAATGTTAATCAGGAGCTAATATTCTTGTTTTGATTGCATACTGTGTGTTTTGTTAGTTGTGTAACAATGTTTTTGTCCTGTTGTTCTAGAAAAACTGGAAATCTACTATTATATTAAGGCTCCCATCTCCAATAGAAATTTTTTTAAAGTAATCGTCTTTTTTTCCTATACTGTATTGTTTTTGCAAAAAAAATCAAATGTTTTCATAATTAGAAAAGAAGAGATTTGTATAACAATTCATATTATGCTTGTGAACCTGTCATAGTCATACAAAATTCCCTAACTTATAAATTTGGACAGAATTTGTCTTACGTATATTCTTTATTGAAGTCCTATGCAGCCAAATGATTTTTGTTTGAGCCTATCTCTAGAATTGAATTTTCAAAAAAAAAAAAAAAGATTTAAAACAGTAAGTATTTTTATGCTAATTAGGCAGAGAGTTAGGATTTTGTCCAGTATCTATGCCACTAACAAATATTTATTTATTATGCATGGTTACTGGAATTTAGATAGGTAATTTGGAAGAAGCCGATCAGTTGTACAGACATGCAAAAGAGATGAATCCAAACCTCTGGGATGTTTACGCTCAATATGGTGACTTCCTGGTCAATTCAGGACGTGCACGAGATGCCGTGCATATATACAGAAAGGTTTGTTTGCATGAATGTAATTTATTCTTGCCATCATTTTGTGTATAATGTTGTGCACTTGGTCGTCCGTCTTGTATCAGTTTTCCTGTCTGAACCAGTGGAACTTGATACTAGAACTTGAAAATACTAGGCAGGAATGTGAACCATTATGAGACAGATTTAAATTTTGACATTTTTTATCTCAATTTTATTATGGTTCAGTTATGCATGGCATGTTTTTCTAACTATATGTTATTCTAATTTTCATAATGCTTGTTATGTTATTCTAATTTCAATATTATTTGTTACATTATTTCTAATCTCAAAATATATTGTTCATGATATTACTTATCTCACTAATATTTGTGGCAGTACAGGCCTACTGATCTCAACAATTTATTATCTCACTAATATTTGTGGTAGTATAGGCCTACTGATCTCAACAATTTATTATTAAGCCCATCTCTTTATGATGTGTTGTGGTAGTAAAGGGCTACTGATCTCAACAATTTTTATTATCTCACTATTATTTGTGGTAATATAGGCCTATTGATTTCAACAATTTTATTTCATTTCATGCTTTCCAGTGTTTAATTGTAATATATCAGATGATTATATTCTGATAAACCACTAGTGAAATTTATAAAATATAATTTTCACTGTAGCCGGACTATATCTGAATGCGGATGAAAAGAAAATCATAACTAAATGGAATAACAGGCAGAAATAAATGCCGTCATACGTAAATTTTGTTTCTTTAGGAAATGAAAGTCAATGTCATCATACATCATGTTAAAAATGTAACAAAATTAGAGAAATTTAACAGAACTATATTTCAAAACTGATGATGTGACGTCATGATATAATGACGTCACAAAGGAGAATGAGTGACGTAACACGGAAAAATCTGTAAAAATTACTTAAAATCCCTTAAAAGCATGAAACGAAAAGAAAATTTATTTGTTTTACATATAAGATTGAAATATATTTCATTCGTGAACACCAGCTATTATATTTTCACTCGTGGCTACGCCACTCTTGAAAATATTGCATCTGTTGTTCACTCAAATTATATTTCAATCTTTCATGCAAAACAAACAAATATCCTCTATATCTCAATAATGTTTGTGGTAGTAAAGGCCTACTGATCTCAACAATTTATTTTCTCACTAATATTTGTCGCAGTACAGGCCTACCAATCTCAACAATTTATTATCTCACTAATATTTGTTGAAGTACAAGCCTACCAATCTCAACAATTTATTATCTCATTATTATTTTTGGTAGAACAGGCCTACTGATCTCAACAATTTATTATCTGACTAATATTTGTGGCAGTGCAGGCCTACCAATCTCAACAATTTATTATCTCACTAATATTTGTGGTAGTTTAGGCCTAATTATCTCAACAATTTATTATCTCATTATTATTTTTGGTAGAACAGGCCTACTGATCTCAACAATTGATTATCTTACTAATATTTGTGGCAGTAAAGGCCTACCAATCTCAACAATTTATTATCTCACTAATATTTGTGGTAGTATAGGCCTAATTATCTCAACAATTTATTATCTCATTATTATTTTTGGTAGAACAGGCCTACCAATCTCAACAATTTATTATCTCACTAATATTTGTGGTAGTAAAGGCCACTGATCTCAACAATTTATTATCTCATTATTATTTTTGGTAGAACAGGCTTACTGATCTCAACAATTTATTATCTCACTAATATTTGTGGCAGTACAGGCTTACTGATCTCAACAATTTATTATCTCAATAATATTTGTGGTAGTATAGGCCTACTGATCTCAACAATTTATTATCTCATTATTATTTGTGGAAGTATAGGCCTACTGATCTCAACAATTTATTATCTCATTATTATGCCCCCACTTCGAAGAAGAGGGGTTATATTGCTTTGCACTTGTCGGTCCGTCCCGTCCGTCGGTCCGTAGACCAAATGGTTTCCGAGTGATAACTAAAGAACCCTTAGGCCTAGGAACTTCAAACTTGGTATGGTGATTGGTCATGACCAGTAGATGACCCCTATTGATTTTGGGGTCAAGGGGTCAAAGGTCAAGGTCACATTGACCTTGTATGTTAAAACGGTTTCCGGTCAATAACTAAAGAACGCTTAGGCTTAGGTTCCTTAAACTTGATATGGTGATTGGTCATGACCAGCAGATGACCCCTATTGATTTTGGGGTCAAGGGGTCAAAGGTCAAGGTCACATTGCCCTTGTAGGTAAAAACGGTTTCCGAACAATAACTAATGTACCCTCAGGCCTAGGAACTTCAAACTTGATATGGTGATTGGTCATGACCAGCAGATGACCCCTATTGATTTTGGGGTCAAAGGTCAAGGTCACATTGACCTTGTATGTTAAAACGGTTTCCGATCAATAACTTAAGAACGCTTAGGCCTAGGATCTTCAAACTTGATGTGGTGATTGGTCATGACCAGCAGATGACCCTTATTGATTTTGGGGTCAAGGGGTCAAAGGTCAAGGTCACATTGACCTTGTAGGTAAAAACGGTTTCCAATCAATAACTAAAGAACCGTTAGGCCTAGGAACTTCAAACTTGGTATGGTGATTGGTCATGACCAGTAGATGACCCCTATTGATTTTGGGGTCAAGGGGTCAAAGGTCAAGGTCACATTGACCTTGTAGGTAAAAACAGTTTCTGATCAATAACTAAAGAACCCTTAGGCCTAGGAACTTCAAACTTGGTATGATGATTGGTCATGACCAGTAGATGACCCCTATTTATTTTGGGGTCAAGGGGTCAAAGGTCAAGGTCACATTGACCTTGTATGTTAAAACGGTTTCCGATCAATAACTAAAGAACGCTTAGGCCTAGGTTCTTCAAACTTGATATGGTGATTGGTCATGACCAGCAGATGACCCCTATTGATTTTGGGGTCAAGAGGTCAATGTCATAGTGACCTTGTACTTAATGACCGTTTCTGACCAATAATTCAACAACTCAAGTTGCCTTGGTTGATATTTTTATGTGCTTTTGGTATACACAATTGAAGGTCTTATGTAATATAACAACTTGGCTGTCATTAATGAGGCCTATGTGATTCATAAAATTTATGTATATATTATTTGGTTAGATTTTAAATAACTTTAATTGCTGCACACAACCTATGGGGTCACAATAATTATTATCTTGTGACTAGTCATGACCAGTAGATACTAGATAACCCTTATTAATTGCTTGTTCACTGGGTCAGAAGTCATGCATAATAACCTGATCACATGACAAATTGGCTGCCGATAGGGGGCATACATGTTTTACAAACATATCTTGTTATTTTTGGTAGGACAGGCCTACTGATCACAACAATTTATTATCTCACTAATATTTGTGGCAGTACAGGCCTACCAATCTCAACAATTTATTATCTCACAGATATTTTGTAGTAGTATAGGTCTGCTGATCTCAACAAATTATTATATCACTAATGTTTGTGGCAGTGCAGGCCTACTGATCTCAACAAATTATTATATCACTAATATTTGTGGCAGAACAGGCCTACTGATCTCAACAATTTATTATATCACTAATGTTTGTGGCAGTGCAGGCCTACTGATCTCAACAAATTATTATATCACTAATATTTGTGGCAGAACAGGCCTACTGATCTCAACAATTTATTATCTCACTAATATTTGTGGCAGTACAGGCCTACTGATCTCAACAATTCATTATCTCACTAATATTTGTGGCAGTGCAGGCCTACTGATCTCAACAATTTATTATATCACTAATATTTGTGGTGATATAGGCCTACTGATCCCAACAATTTATTATCTCACTAATATTTGTGATAATATAGGCCAACTAATCTCAACAATTTATTATCTCACTAATATTTGTGGTAGTTCAGGCCTACCAATCTCAACAATTTATTATCTCAGTAATATTTGTGGTAGTACAGGCCTACTGATCCAAACAATTTATTATAACACTAATATTTGTGGTGATATAGGCCAACTAATCTCAACAATTTATTAACTTACTAATATTTGTGGTAGTACAGGCCTACCAATCTCAACAATTTATTATCTCACTAATATTTGTGGTAGTACAGGCCTACTGATCCCAACAATTTATTATCTCACTAATATTTGTGATAATATAGGCCAGCTATTCTCAACAATTTATTATCTCATTAATATTTGTGGTAGTACATGCCTACCAATCTCAACAATTTATTATCTCACTAATATATGTGGCAGTGCAGGCCTACTGATCTCAACAATTTATTATATCACTAATATTTGTGGTTATATCGGTCTACTGATCCCAACAATTTATTTTCTCACTAATATTTGTGAAAATATAGGCATACTGATCTCAAGTTCCAACAATTAATTATATCACTAATATTTGTGGTAGTACAGGCCTACCAATCTCAACAATTTATTATCTCACTAATATTTGTGGTAGTACAGGCCTACTGATCTCAACAATTTATTATTTCACTAATATTTGTGGCAGTACAGGCCTACTAATCTCAACAATTTATTATCTCACTAATGTTTGTGGTAGTATAGGCCTACTGATCTCAACAATTTATTATCTCACTAATATTTGTGGTAGTACAGGCCTACTGATCTAAACAATTTATTATCTCATTAATATTTGTGGCAGTACAGGCCTACTGATCTCAACAATTTATTATATCACTAATATTTGTGGTAGTACATGCCTACTGATCCCAACAATTTGTTATCTTACTTATTTTTGTGGCAGTACAGGCCTACTGATCTCAACAATTTATTATATCACTAATATTTGTGGCAGTACAGGCCTACTGATCCCAACAATTTATTATCTCACTAATATTTGTGGCAGTACAGGCCTACTGATCCCAACAATTTATTATCTCACTAATATTTGTGATAATATAGACCAACTGATCTCAACAATTTATTATCTTACTTATTTTTGTGGCAGTACAGGCCTACTGATCTCAACAATTTATTATATCACTAATATTTCTGGTGGTTTAGGCCTACTGATCCCAACAATTTATTATCTTACTAATATTTGTGATAATATAGACCAACTGATCTCAACAATTTATTATCTCACTAATTTTTGTGGCAGTACAGGCCTACTGATCTCAACAATTTATTATCTCACTAATATTTGTGGCAGTACAGGCCTACTGATCTCAACAATTTATTATCTCACTATTATTTGTGGTAGGCCTACTGATCTCAACAATTTTATTATTATGCCTATCTCTTTATGATGATTTTTCAAATTTTATTCAAGTGAGATCCTGTATTCATTTTATGTCCATATTGTGTCAGCTTTTAGAAAAACATTGAGACTATGTAACAATTACTAAACTGATTTGTAATAGTGTGTTAAAAAGTATTTTAATATATTTCAGGGTACTGAATTAGAGCCAGACACTCTACCATTCTGGCAGCAGTTAAGGTATGCTCAGCAGATATCTGGTGATTCAGAGGGGGCCAAGGAAACTGGGAAAGTTATAGATAAAATGAGGAAAAAACCTAGATAGCTGAAGATATAAAAACATTTGGTACTTTGAATTAAATGATAATGGCAGGTTCTTTAGTGTTCCAAGTTTGAAGACATTTATTCATTGAAGCATTAAACAAATTTTAAACAAAAATAAAATGTTTTTTTTTTTGGACAGAGGTAGACAGATTGACAAGTTCAATGATATGTTAAATTTGGTGTAAAAGTATACAAACAGAAACCGAAAAATAAACAAACAGACAGATGTTTGATATGTGCTTAGGAAATTGACTGATTGTTGCAAAATGGTCTCATTGTAAATTGTCACAAAAGCATGATTGTGTATTCAAAGAAACAACTTTAGTAATGTTGATATCATAAAGCGGTTCAGTCAATTTTTTGCCTCAAATGATATAAATAAAATAGCTCCCGTCTATAAATATGCATTGAAATGTGATCTGCAAACTGAAATGTTAAAATTGAAAATTTTCATAAGATTTCCTAAAATAAGAAATCCAAATATAAATTTGTTATACCGGTACAATATGTTAAAAATGTCTCATTTTTACTAGTAGCTCACCTGAGCACAAAGTTCTCAGAGGTGAACTTTTGTGATGACAGTGTGTCTGCAGTCCATCATTGGGCATATGTTTGTTATCCACAATTTCTTTAAACAACATCTTTACCTAAACAAGTAAACTACATGGTTGATTTTGACCAAACTTCATAGGAATGATCCTTAGGTGGCCTTCAGACACTATATAAATGGTTCCAGTTTGATGTATAAATAGGTCAGAGGAGCTAAAAATAGACTTCTAGAATTTTAAAAATTGAAATCTTTAAAAAATCTTCTTCTCAGAAACTACAATGCCCAGAGCTTAAATGCTTAGATTAAAGAATCACCTGGTGGTCTTCTAAAAAAGGTTTCATAAATCATGTCTCAGGGGTCACAGTAAAACACATTGATCTCAGCTTGTGTTAGATTACATTACTGAGAGCATTTTATAGCTTACATCTACAAATATTGATATAAAAAATATGCAGATTATGTCAAAAAAATGACATATCCTGTGGAACATCATTACTGAGAAATTACAAATTCAAAGTCAATATTTCTAGAAACTTGTCATGAAGAATTTCATAGCAGACATTAAATTTTACAAATATTTTAAGAATCATACAGACTGGATAATAATTTGGCAATCCCTAGATGTGACCTCATTTTTGTCTTTAACATTGAAAAATAAAAATTGTTACCTTTCAAGCAATGTATCTCAGGTGAGCAATCAAGGGCCATCATGGCACTCTTGTTATTTTTAGTTTCTAAATGTATGTACATGTAGTTGCAGGATTTTACATTCCAGTGTTTTATATTTGATGAATCTTTACATTCCTTTTTACTATTATCATTATTATCTCTTTCAATGTTTTAATATAGCTATGGTGTTTGTATCTTTATCATTGTCTCTGAAGTGTTGTTTTGTCATGATTTTTCTATCTCAGAAACTATTCAAGGCACAAAATCTTTTTCAGACTTGGCTAAGTCACTTATATGTATAATTATGTTTGGTATATTGTAAATTATCACAAAACAACAATGATTTATCTTGTAATTTTGCAGCTTCTCAACTAGCCCAAATATGTCACGAGTTCAACATTGGTGTTTTGTTTTTTTTCTCAATATTTTTTGTCTTTAATTAGTTCAGACAGGTTCATGAGATTAAGGTGCACCAGTAGAGCTATAAAGCCCATATTTGGATTCAGTGTGCCCTCAAACTTGACTGTTAACAGAAAGATTTTTTTTAAACATTTTAAAACACATTGAAAATCAGATACCAAACTTTTGACAACAACAATGTTTTTTTACATTGTTTGTTATTAAAAATTGTGTTTTGTAAACAGGTTTCTCGGAATGTGTTTTTGCATGTATCTTACTACCTCCCATACACAATAGTACTTAAATTAATAAGTACATTTTTCAAGTGGCCCCATGCCATGTTATTTATGCTTTATGTGTGTATTCCTTTTGAATCACAGACTCATCCCTCTTTTATCTTTTGAAAAACATGTTTCAAGTCAGGTTATGGTAAAAAAAAATGTTTTGCTCTTGTTTAAGTTTATTGTAAAAAAAATGTTTTCTGTTCTTGTTTTCATGTTTAGAAATACTCAAGGTGAATAATTGTTATGAATAAAAAATTCTTGATTATTTCAATAGTTCGGTTACAGTTTAGACAGGAATGATTATTACATGTATTATGTATTTGGTTTTGGAAAATTTTGAAATAGATATAAATTTTAAGTTTATTATTATAGATGAATGCACAGTTTGAGTTGAAATGTTTAGGATATATATTATGATGTAAATGATGGTAAATTTGCGAAATAAAATGTTTAAACTAAATGTGTCTACTAGGAATATAATCATAAAGACCGAAACCCATAAGTGATAAAGTAGATCTACAAAGCATTTTATTTAAAAGCCATGCATTATTGTACTAAAATTCAAGAAAAACTAATATTTTTTTTTGAATTTCAATTTTGACATGCTAATAAAAAAGAGAATTGATAAAAATGTGTTGGTTTTGTCATATCACGGCTCATATATTGTGTAATAATGCACTTGATTGCCCTATCTGTTTGAGAGGGGAATTAAGTGTGAAGAGTTGCATTGGCTGAGCAGTTAAAACAAGCAGTTAACAAATTCCATTTATCATTTCTTATGATTATTAATTAATTCTTGTATTTTTTTGGTGTCTTTAAAATATTTTTTAAGAATTTATATTTTGATCATTGCACACCTCTAGATTATGTTATCAATTGATCAGATATTTACATGTTAAAACAGCTTTTGCTTCAACCACCATGAACAGGGTTTGTTATAATTAATAAATAAAAAATTATTTTTGATTTTTTTTAGTTATGTCATCATGTTTATTTTGACATTTTTACAGTTGTATCAAATTCAATATAATTATATATATATACATGTTTTTTATATAATTGTTTGAAATGTCACTATTGAAATGATTGTTACTGTTAACTCCTAACTTTTTAAGTTTGTATTACATATTTTCCTTGCATTGAATTTTACACGGGCTTAAAACAGGACTTACAAAATCTTTTATTTTCTGCTTTATATGCCCACACTATAGCTATATTGTTGCCACACAATAGCCATTTTGTGTTTACGTGATTGGTGTTACATACACGTAATTTTATGTTACACGTGTGATAGCCATTTTATGTTACATGTGATTGCCATTTTATGTTTACCTGATAGGTATTATGTACACAGTCATAAATCATATTGCAGCGCCCAATCTAGCTATCAAGTGTGAATGTGATGTGACCATGTAAAAGCCATCGATTGGACACATAGTAAAAAAAAAAGATTTCCTATGGCACTTATGCCCCCGTAGAATTTGTAATAGTACAGAGTTTATAGAATTTAATTATCAAAGTACAAAAGTTAAGCTTCCAACAGTATAGAGTTGGGTCAGACTGCATGGAACCCTGGCTCTTTGTGTCCAGCTAACACGTCAATTTCAGTTTCAGCAAGTGAAGATTACAAACTTTATACCCATTTGTCTCATTTTGTTTCATAAAACTTGTATTTATGATAAATCTATGTTCTTTTATCACTATCCTTGTTATAATGGCATTGTTGCCATGACTACCATTTTGGTTTTATATGTTATTATTCCAACAGCATTTGTTTAGTCAGGATTTTAAAATAATAAATGGTTTTTTAGTATTGTTAATACATATGTTGCAGGAATTTATTTGCGTTTTATTTATTGATGGCTTATTATGAAATAAAAATCTATGAAATAACATAGTTATAGTTTTATTTTGGTTTTTTCGTTTTCTTTTATAAAATCTTGAAGTTTAAATGTTTCTGAAACTAAAATTGAACAAGTGAGAAATGTTTCTCTACAAGTTTTACTGAATCTGATATCAACATCAGCAAGACCACATGAGTTCCTTTTGACTTCAAATCACCTAACTTTCAAAGATAACAAGACCTACTGTTCTGTGAAAAAAATTCACACTAACAGTTAATGTATCAGAAATACAAGTTTTTCCTATATTAGTCCATGTCACATTGATGATCCCCAGGGAAGCGCAAATTTTACCTGTAAAATATAATTTGAATAACTTAGTAAAAGGTTTCTAAGTGATTCTACATTCCACATTTGGAAGGTCTGGGCCTGCGATTTGAACAGAAAGAGTTTATAAGTCTCCCGTATATAAATCTATGTTACAATGATAATGACAAAAAATGTTAAAATGATAATATTCCCCAAACCTTTAACCCTTTCCCCCATGAGCATATTGTGAAAAATGGCCATTTTCACTGAAAAGCCTCCTGTTACAAGTTCAAACTGCTATGAAACTATGAAAAATGCTTCAATACTAATCAAACTTGGCACAAATGTTGACTGGACCATTGCCTTTGTAACGACATGCTCAGTCTTAAATTTCCTGTTACCATGGCAACGAGGGGACATCTCAAAATTGCCAAATCACATTTTTGCCTCGATTTTTTCCATCAAAATTTATTTCAAAGTGCTGCAACTTCTCAAGGGATTGAGATAGAGTCAAAGGCTTTTCAGCGTTGGTTACACGTTACCTTATGATCGACCTGGGGTCATTTTAAGCCTCTCACACAAGTCCAAATTTTCTTGGCGATGAGGGGGACTCCGCCCCCCCTTCAAACCCCCCAAACAGAAGGGGGCACATCCCCTTCTGGCAACCCCTGATGTAATATTTGGATGGGGGACGGCGCCGAAAAAATGGTCACTTTTTTTAACAACATTTCTCAAACAAAAGACAGTGTTTGGGGCCTAAATAGGGCATTTTTTCACTGTTTGAGGCCTCAAAAAGGGGGGGGCAAAAAGCCGTCGAAACACGCTTATATAAGGGAAAAGGTTAATGTGCATTAAGAATTTAGCAATAACAAGTTTAATTTTACAATAAAATCTTATTCCTTTTCTAGAAATGTTTGTTTATTAAGTTATATAATTTAAAAAATGGCATATCACTTGATGGTTATGTAAGCAAGAGTTAGGATTGGATTCCACAAACTTTTCATTATCACCTTCAATTTATCAGAAAAAAAAAAGAAAACCCCAAAAAATTTGGAAGCTCCTTGCAAAACTTGTGACTAACATTATACAAAGTTACCTACAGCCTACGTCAATAAGTTACATAAGTTATTGAAAGTTGAAGTAAACATAATGTAAAATTGATGACACCCAGGGAAGGGCAAATTTTACCTGAAAAATATAAGTTGATCGACTTAGGTAAATGATCTCGAAGTGATGCTGCATGATCTAGGCCTGCGATTGAAAAAGACAAGTAGGGTTTATAAGTCTCCCCTTTATCGGTCTATGTTAGAATAATGATGACAAAAAAATTCAAAATGATACATACAATATTCCCGAAACCTTTAATGTGCATCAAGAATTAGCAATAACAGAACTGCCCTATCATGCGTGATACCCCCGCATACCCCTTTTTCAGAACAACAGTGGATTTAAAGCTCAAGGGCAACCCCCTTTAAATTTAGGTTACAAGCCAGTGCATTGCTAAGTTATTTTCTACATGCTTCAAAAGTGAAAAAGTCAAAAACAAAACACGCAGAAGGACTTTAGCAATTTAGGGGAAAAAGTTTTTTTTTTCAAAGGGCCTGTGACCTTTTCCTTTTACCCCGACCTAAAAACAAAGAGGTACATATGGTCATATCAAATCATGCAAATAGAAACTGGGTCAAAGGTTTTTTATTAATGGGGGGACAAACTTTTTTTGTCAAGGCTCCTTAACCCTTTACTTTTGCCCATACCCAAAAATAAAAAGGGGGTTTCCTTTAATCATGATAACCCCATGCCAAAATAAACTTGGGTCAAGGAACTTTAAATTATTTTGGGGACAAGCTTTTTGAAGTCAAAGTTCCTGTGACCTTGACCTTTCATCAAGTAACCTCAAAAAGTCAATAGGGGTCATCTACTAATCATGACTAACCTCCATGCCAAATATGAAGACTGTGGGTCAAAGGAATCTTAAGTTAATGGGCAGACAAGCTTTTTATAGTCAAGGCCCCTGTGACCTTGACCTTTGACCTGGTGACCTCACATTCAATAGGGGTCATCTACTAATCATGACTAACCTCCATGCCAAATATGAAGACTGTGGGTCATAGGAATCTAAAGTTATTGGGCAGACAAGCTTTTTGAAGTCAAGGCCCCTGTGACTTTGACCTGGTGACCTCAAAATCAATAGGGGTCATCTACTAATCATGACTAACCTCCATGCCAAATATGAAGACTGTAGGTCAAAGGCATCTTAAGTTATTGGGCGGACAAGCTTTTTGAAGTCAAGGCCCCTGTGACCTTGACCTTTGACCTGGTGACCTCAAAGTCAATAGGGGTCATCTACTAATCATGACTAACCTCCATACCAAATATGAAGACTGTGGGTCAAAGGAATCTTAAGTTATTGGGCGGACAAGCTTTTTAAAGTCAAAGCCCCTGTGACCTTGACCTTTGACCTGGTGACCTCAAAGTCAATAGGGGTCATCTACTAATCATGACTAACCTCAATGTCAAATATGAAGACTATGGGTCAAAGCAATCTTAAGTTATTGGGCGGACAAGCTTTTTGAAGTCAAGGCCCCTGTGACCTTGACCTTTGACCTGGTGACCTCAAAATCAATAGGGGTCATCTATTAATCATGACTAACCTCCATGCCAAATATGAAGACTGTAGGTCAAAGGCATCTTAAGTTATTGGGCGAACAAGCTTTTTGAAGTCAAGGCCCCTGTGACCTTGACCTTTGACCTCAAAATCAAAAGGGGTCATCTACTAATCATGACTTATTTCCATGCCAAATATGAAGACTGTAGGTCAAAGGCATCTTAAGTTATTGGGCGGACAAGCTTTTTAAAGTCAAGGTCCCTGTGACCTTTGACCTGGTGACCTCAAAATCAATAGGGGTCATCTACTAATCATGACTAATCTCCATGCTAAATATGAAGACTGTGGGTCAAAGGAATCTTAAGTTATTGGTCGCACAAGAAAAAACCGACGGACGGCCGGACAGCCGGACGGATGAGCTGATTCCAGTATACCCCCCTTAAAACTTTGTTGTGCGGGGGTATAATAAGTTTAATTCTAATAAAAATCTTATTCCTTTTTCTAGTTAGTGACTGGAAGCCAATTTTCTATTTTCAGTAACTGACCTTGACCCTAGGATGCCCAAATTCAATTCCAATCAAGGTCTTCACATAAACTTGCTACACACAGTTTCTAGTCAGGTCTTAACATAAGCTTGTAACATTGAAATATCTCATTCCAAACCTTTAGTTATAATTGCTCAGAGCCAAAGTTTTTTAACAGTGACCATGGACCTATATGGCCCTTAAGCAATCTCAAGCAAGGCCTTCATACACCAGGTTTCATTGAATTATCTCGTTCCAAACTTTTTTTTACTGGAAACAAAATTTTCTATTTTTTAGTTTTATAGCTACCATGACTTCAACAAGGCCCAAAAAACAATCAGTGGGGTTTTTCTATAAGCTTGCTATACATATAGTATATGCTTTCACTGAAATATCTCATCAATACACTGTATAAGTTATTGACCAGAAACTGATTTTCTAGTTTAAGTCACGGCACCTAGAATAAAGGGAGCCAAAAAAGCAATTCCAAGCAAGAATCGCTAGACACTACTGTATTGTGGCAAAGTTCAGTTGTATAGAAACAAAAATGATATTCTATTGTTCCTACTATATAGTGTTGTATTAATGTGGTTGTGGCATAGCAATTTTTCACATGCAGTTGACTTTTAGATAGCACCAACACTATACTGTTCATATGGTGACTTTTCAGCTTTACTGTTTGAGGAAGAACTAAGGTGCTCCTCCATGCATTATTTTCAGGCATGAGCAGCCATCTGTGTAGAACCATCAACATTTTTACCTAGTGGTGCTTACTCATATGAAATAATCTAGGGGCTCAGGTGGAATCGAACTCACGTCGGGGGGTTCGGGGGAGAAACGGTTTGAAGTCAAAAGACCATAACCCCTCGGCCCCAACGCACCTGCAAGGAGGTAAAAAAGTAATAAAAAAAAAATATTAGAAAATGATTTTATTAGAAGAAAAAGATTCAAAAAAACAAAATACTAAGCTTTATGAAAAATTTTTCAAAAAACAAAAACAGGGGAAGTTTATCAAAAATAGTCTTTTATGTTGTTAGGGAGAATGTTTTAACAAAAATCATTTTGTATATAACAGACCAGTAAAAAGTAATACATGTAATGGTGTGTATTGAAGAGGTGGGGTCTAGCAATTTATTGATGAATTTGGCACAATGAATGCATAAGATTTGGTCTGAGAGTGTATTTATACAGAAATAATGAACAGTTGTATATTCCTGCGATAGCCGATTTTTTTACACCCTGGGATTTAAAGTACAATTATTCCAATCAACTTAATTGTCAAGGATTCAATAGCATTAGATTTTCTAATGGAGGATTCTTGGTAATTGTCAGAAAAACTTTTATATTTTAATAAAATTGGACATTTTAACACTAAGACTGCTGGTGGCACATCTGTGCCGTCTGTTCAAGGTCTGCAC